TTAAGCAACAACTTCTCCTTTTGCGATGAGAGATGAACTAACTCTTGGTTTTGGGTGGTAAGGAGAGAGACAGAGAAAGAGAGGGAACGAGAGAAAGAGAGAGAGAGAGAGAATGAGAGAGTGGGGGACGCAAGGGTTGGTGAGCTTCAGTCGTTCTGGCAAAGAGACACGATGCTGTAATCTGTTGCTTAAAAATAGAGCAGATAATTATTCTATTGCGGCATCTTCTGATTTTACAGGATGACGAAAGTACTGATTACAGAAGTGGAAGAAAAAAGTACGTTTACCAAAACTCTTCCCAGAATACCCTATCCGAATGTTCAATGTCTATTAAAAGCAAGAAATGTATTTTGATTTCCAGCTCTAGTGTAGGCTCTGTTGGTTCGATTTGTGGTTTAAATCTTCAATTCATCTCCGCTTAATTCTTGATGCGCACTTAGCGTAGTGGTTCTTGGAGCGGAAAGAAGAATCGGCAGGCTGAGTTCAAAATTTGTCCAAAAAACAAAGGGTAGGGTTGGCCAAAAGTAGGTTTACACTTAGTAGGAATGTACTTTACATTTTTTAAAAGATATTATTACATTTATATTTATTTGTTACAATCATATTTGTTCAAAACTGTTTATGTACATTTGTTTAACAATTTAATTCCATCATTTAACACAGTTTAATCTCTTAAGTGTTCAAAATATCCTCCTTTAACATTGCAACATTCCTCAAACCTCTTCAGAACAAATCCTGATCTGCATCAATTTCAATAAATCCTTCTGAAATGTACTCTTTTAATTCGTCTACTATGCGAGGAATTCTCTTATAAACCTTGTTCTTTACTATACCCCATTCAACCCCAAAAAAGAAATTCATTGGTGTTAGGTCAGGTGAACCTTCTTCCAAACCAACACTGTGGAAAGGTTTGGTTATGGTACTCCTTTACATCCAAAGCATTATGGGGAAGGGCTCCATCTTGTTAAAAGAACAGTTAATTATAATTTGGATAAATTAGATCTAAAACATGAAATAAATAGAGAAACAACTATAAATCTACTTTTGTCTCAGCTTTCACCAGACAGCAAGTCTTCTGATCGGGATGTTTTAAAGAAAGTGGATCCATCTCTTAATTACTGTCGTTCCTAGGTCCACCCTAACCCGGACGGGTAGAACCTGTTAGGGTTCCATCTATGAGCAAATAGTGCACCTCCCCTATGAACACTAAGAATATACAAATATATTTTTATAGCAAAAATACAAACAATACACGTGTATATAAAATAAATTACCAACACTACCTATTTATAGTAAAGTTACCAACAACAGATTTTATCTGTAGTTGAACGCATACAATTTCGTTTAAAATGTTTAGATTTCGGCAGTAAATAACCCATAGGGGTATTGATATGCCGCTATACAAAATCAACCAATCAAGGTCGCTGCGTTCACGTTCGCACAAGTAATCTTGGCAAAAGTATAAATCTATTTCTTATCTCCCATGCACAGCTACGGGTCAGACAGTAAGGCAAATTGAGCTTTCTAGCCTTGATTGGTGACCAAGAAGGAAAACTCTGAATTCAACGCCGGTTGATTGTGAGGCTGGCAACTCCAACTTAAGTAGCTTATTTGCTCTCGAAACCACAGTAGTAACACTACTGTAGTGAGGCTGTGAAAATTTACTCCTTGTAAAGTGAGATCTCATTTTTCTGTAATCTCAGTTCTAGAGCAGTTAGCAATGCTTCAAGCCCGGTGTTATGGACACACCTGTTACACAATCTTCACTGTTCTGAGCTTCCGGTAAGGTCCTGGAACTTTTCCAATTTTTTGCTACGATCTTGCAAGTCCTTTCTTCTTTGTTTACTATTATCAAATTCTTTTTTTTTATTGGATTATGTGTTCAGTTTGAATCTAAAATTCTTCATGTATCTTATTCAATCTTTTTATTTCATACAGCAACCTCTAGTTTGAGATTATATCATTTATTTACATGCTTGAACCCAAATCATTTGCACACATCGCAGTGCATAACTGTTCCTCCCCGACATGCTTGTTTTTCTTCTTTTTTTTTCTTAAGCTGCATTCACTTACAATTTCGTCTTTTTCCAACAATTGTGAGTTTATTGTTTCTTGGATTTGTTGACGTTTGCTTTGATATAATTACTCTAAATTTAGTGATTCTGGTCAGTAATTTTTAAATATTACAGACCAGGGATCTTTTCTGTTAATTCACCTCAATATATTAATTCACCCCCAAATAAAAAAGAATTTATTACTAAAATTCACACCAACTTCTCCCTACCACTGAACTTCGGTTAGGTTGACCTTTGCGATAACCTCAAAGATGGGTGATTTTAGTTCCCTATTTCTAAGTGTGGGGTCTACATTCGTGCCCAATCCGATAAACAAGCCAAAAACAGATTTATTGTTTTTTTTTTTTAATTGTAAAAAAATCCTTGTAAATATCTCGGATATCATCCGCACTTACGAAATGTGAGGAACTGATTTTTGGTAATTTTTCATTCTCAGGGTTGGTGTTGTTGCGAAGCAAGCTAAACAAATTTTCATTTAAGATTTATAATTTCAAAAAAACTTAAAATCTCTTGAGGTGAATTAATAGTTGCGATAAGTAACTTTACATTATTTGGGAGGAGATCTCAGACCAGTAAAATATATATATATATATATATATATATATATATATATATATATATATATATATATATATATATATATATATATTGTTGTCTCTCGGAAATGAGGTCGAGAAAGTCCCCTCAAATTTCAAGAACTCGCATCAAAATTCTACTGAATTAAACGCAGATCGAATAGCGTCTTCGAAACTTACTTTGTCTGTGTCCTATTTATTATAACAAACATTAGTAATTTTCTAAAATGTTCGAATCTCTCCAGCAAGATCTTGATACTTATTAATCTTCTGATTTTAGATTCATTTCGTTCTCCGCTAGAGAAGCCACATGTAATCTATGGCAGACTTTGTTCTTTTATTTACATACAATATATTATTCTCGTGTGCATTACAGCATTAAAGAACTTTGTGTCAACAACAGACTTTAATTTAAAATTCAGTGATAAGTATAAAGTTAAATACATGGGCGCAAATCAAAGTTTCTTCACGTTTCTTTATCACGGAGGGAATTATTTGCATTTAAGGTTGTTTTGAAATTCAACTATACGGATAAGAAATTCACAAATCAAATTCCTTGGCGGAAGACGAAAAAGTGAAACTATCAATTTTTACAAGCAGGAAATTACCATCTAGCCATGGGAGATTTTTTAATATTCAGAAAGAAAAAAATTAATATCACCCTGTAGATCACTTCGCATTAGACAATACGATAAAAGCAAAAAAGGAAGCAAGAAAGAGCAATGACAACAACAAAAATAATACAGATTATCATCAAATTAAGTCTAAACTAATACTTTGAATATTATTGTGCCCCGTCTGCCATTCAATAGATTAGACTTTGAAAGTCCCATGGAAAGTATAATTTAAATACGTAAGAATGAAGGTTGGAACAAGTGGATTCGCATCATTTAAACATAAATAATTCTTAGACTATTGTTTCCTGTAAATGAAGGTAAAATGAAAGTACTTCAAAATTAATACTAAAAATATTATATTACCATTTCTACTAACACTCTTTTGTTTCTGCAATATATTAGTGATAAGGAAACTTTGTAATCGTAATTATTTCTGCATATAAAACATTCTTCGTTCTGTAGATTAAACATTATTACGTTTCCTGAACAGAATAGTTGAACAGCAGATCTGAGATAACGCGGGCTTGAAAAACATATCTGTTATATACTATATACAATCTAATTGTGACGCTGAAGCCATGAAGTGGTTAAATATTAATTCTAAGAAGAAAAAAGGCTCAAGACCAAAATGAAATATAAATTGGAAGATAGAGAGATTGAGAGCATGGAAAACATTTTTCCTGGTAATGTGGAAGTGGAAAAAAGAGCCATCTGGATTGACTCAGTCCTATAAATTGGCACGATTCACCAATAATTTACTTTTTTTATTTATTGAAAATCTGGCATGCGGGTAAAGCAAATTGTGAAATGGCTTTATCTCTTTCTTAATAAATGAGAAAAAACACATCTCATTGGCGAGAAGAGAGACAGATGGGAATTATATCTTCGTTATCGAAAACGAATTGAGAAATGAAAACAGAGAATGAACCCGATTTGAGGGTTAGGATTAGGAAAATCGATACTGTCGTAACAGGCAGGTGGTCTGGTCTATGTTTTCGCTAAGATTGCGATCGTCCCAAAGATGGGGAACAGCGTGTATTTTTGTTGAGAACATAGATAAACAAATATATTTTTGTTGACGAAAACAAATTGGGAAATAATTTTTTTCTAACGCTCGGAAGATTAAAATGAGAAGCTGGTTTGTGTTCTCGCTGGAAAAGGTAATAGTAGGGAAGTGGAAGGGAGTCAGAAAATTGAAATTAATGAGGAGAATAAAATATGCCCTTTCACCTACGCACTTCAAAAATTAGATTTGTCACAAAAAAGGTTACGCCAGCCCTGATATATGGAAAAAGTTAGAATACCGAGAAGAAAGTAGGAAGATGCAGAATTGCGCCCCGCCTGTGTGGAGTGGTAGTTCGAGATGTGAAGTGAAGAAAGTTGGAGTTAAGTGAGGAGCAATACCTGTGACTACTCTCAAGGAAGGTGGATAATTCTCCAAATTTGGAAAGTTGATTAAGATAGCAGAAATCAGAAACAGAGAAAATCTTTATTGGGATAGATGTGAGAATTGGGGAATCAGTTTTGGACCGACGTGACTTTGGGATGACTTTTGGGAGCTCATAGACTTAGTCTGAGAAGCCGCATCGAGTGCGTCTGGAATCTACGTCAACTGCCTCCAGATTTCCTAATTTTAAGAACTTTGGCCCCAGCTCCTCCAGACGTTTAGATAATGCCCAGTGTTACTATAGATATTGATGAAGGAATGGTTAATTTTTGTTGTACCAAGAAGTATATAAATTAACTGAAGATTAACCCCATGAATCTTCCGTTTTATTTTTCGTCTTGAAGATGATTTCTTCCTTAATATAGCACCGTTAACGTTTTTTCGGCCATCACCTCAGCAGAAGAACTTGTCGGTTTTGCATTTTGGACAAAGCACCGTGGA